GAAGAAAGACCGAGAGAGGGACCTTATGACGAAATACACTTTAGTAACCCTACTTTAAAACACATTATATTAAAGTAACTCAATGGGCTCTCTGCCTTTCAAAATCAGAGTATTAAAATGTAATCTGACGTCCCCGCTGCATCTTTCCGAGCGGCCTCACGCAAAGCTGCGACTCCTCGGGCCGTCCCAAGCTGGAATGTGCCCTGCTGGCCCGGGCACCGGAGGGGCAGCCTCTGTTCCGCTGAGAAAGCGCATCCCCGAGTGGGAGGGAACACTACGATTAATGGAATTATTCTAAATATAAACCCAGCAAAGTCTCTGCGGAACCATGTGCACGTTCAAAAACCAGCAGTTGTATTTCACTATCCAACCAACAGGAGGATCTGTGGGAAAAGGAAGCGGCACAGAAACACCGCAGACAAACCGGAGGTTTTACACATCAGCCTTCTGACACAAATAGCAAATTTCAGTGGGTTGTACGCATATGAAGTGCATTTAAAATAAAGCCATTTTTAGACCAAAACCGATGCCAAACCATTAATCAAACAAAACTATTTGTTATTTTAAGAGGAAAAGAAAACAAAGCAGAAAAAAACAGACATAGAGCTTATTCTCTATTTATATTATTGCTACCAGCTTGATCTATGATGAGACACCCATTAACAGTACCTTACACTGCACGGCTGTGTACTCATCTGTAAGTCTGCATGTATGACATCCCATGTTCCTACAGAGCAAAGTGCAGAGAATATTGTAAAAGAGCAAAGACCTTCCAGTTTTAGGTGTATCCCCTTTCTGAAAGGGCTCCCACGAGCAGCTATCCAGCAGCTCCCATTTAGTAAAAGCACAAGAGGTCTAATGCTTCCCTCTCAGAAACAGAAGAGCATTGGCAGTAAAAAAATAGGAATTCAGGAAGAAACTAAACTTAGGTTGGGGCCTTAGTAGCAACGTACACACTTTGCTAATGGATCTCATTCTCAGTATACTCTCAAATGCATAACACACATAGTGTGTATAAAATCACACATTCCAATGGTAACGTGTTGTTATGTTGGCAAAAGGCTTTTCCTATCCCAAATTTTCCAAGTTTGTCTTGAAATAATTCTATTCCTGCATGTGGAAGGAAAAGCAGTTAACAAAAGGAAAATTACTTTCTAGATTAAGAACCTCTCAGCAGTGTATAAATTCCATTGTACCTCCCAGCATCAGACACAAAATACATTATCACTAACAAGAAGTAACACCAATCTGAGTAGAGTTAAACACTAGAAGTGACTTTATAAAGCAACATTTTGCATTCTGAAAAAGGAATATTTCTTGAAATACTTGCATAAGCCAGACCAGAGGTGCTACAGTGAACGTTCCTTCTTCCTTCCACTACCAGAGAAAACCTCAACCTCCACAAAATTAAGTGTGTCGCAACTGCATCTGAACATTTATCCACTGGAAATCTAACACTCCAGCTTAAATTTTAGACATTTTCTTCAGTCTCCTTAGGAAGAATACAATCTTAGGTCCAATCCATAAATAAAGTAATAGACGAATATACAGCTTTAGTTTAGGGCAGAAGAAAATAAACTGAAGTTTTGCAACTTGAGAATCTCAAGACGGATGTTAGGCAATCCGTCACACGGGCATTACGATGCATCTGTTGCATCTGGCTTGTTTAACTACTACTACTGACAGAGAGAATGCCATATTAGCAGGACAAAAAGCACTCATGAAGTTCAGCCTATCTTCTCTCTGTTTACTACAAACATGTTTTGAATTTATTTAGAATTTGCAGAGATTTTGGTAAATGCCGACGACAAACTGTATGGGGAAGTAATTTCTCAGGGTGACATCAAGTTGCAGAAGAAACCCCAAAAGCCAGGAAGGTTGCAGCATGAAGTATGTAAACCAAAACATTCTCAAGTAAACTCAAGCCCAACATAAGAGTAATACATAAGCGTTAACACTTCAAGTTAAAAAAGAGCATTTTGTTGTGTGTGGTATTACATGGATGGGGAAGAACATATGGGGATCACGTCTGCATTTGCACCTGACATAAAGCAGGAGGTAGTTTTAAAAAACCCCACCCCTAATTTGGAAACACTTGCTGCTCAGAAAGCAGGGTTAAATATAACTGCATGCTGCATAAGACTCCAAAAGAACATCAGTCCTTAAATCAAATATATACATTTTTAATATCTGAAATATTTACACGGTGGAACCTTTACACGATCCCACTTGTTAAGAACAGTGTTTTCAAGTGTCCTCTCCAGATACAAAGAACTCGTAACGCAAGGTCACAGTTATGTTTTCTGAACAGGTCAACCTGTATCCTTCAGTTAAATACAATATAGAGATACTGGAACACCTTTACTTAATTTGTTTGCTATTAAGAATTGTGTTTAAAAATTAAAAATGTTTTTGAGACAGTTTGCTCCCTGGAACACAGTCCTCCTGCAATCAAAACAACTCATAGCACATTAGTGACCTGACTTCTTACCCAGGTATGAGATAAAAAAATGCAGTTTACAGTACATCTCATCATTTATACCATATCAGCCTATTTATAAAACCCCATACAAACAAGGCAGGAAAAATTACCCTCTTTTTGTGGACAATGGACTGCTTACAGTAGAAAACAAAAGTCAGGGCTAGTTTAACAGTATGGGTAAAAACAAGACTTCAGCTTTGTTTGAAAACTTACGGTTTAGTTTTTGTCAACTGCTATGGCCAGTTATATCCAAAAAGGTGTGGTATTTTTTTCTCCAAATCCCACAAAAATGTTTTAAAAAATAATTTCTCTTTAAAAAAAAAATTCCATCTGATTATTTTGGAGACAAAAAGGATAACAGGGAAGGGCTAAAATAAAACCGAGCAAAAGATATCCTAGCTTAAAAAAATATATGTATTAAATAGCACTTACTGAATTGAGGTCCTGCTCTTGTTTTAACTGAGCAAAGAATAAAATGCTTCCTGCAATTTGCACTTTCTAGGAAAGAAGCAGAGCATCTGCAAGAGATTTAAGTTCCCAGCTTCATTACTAATTCTAAATGGGCAACGAAGTACCAAGACTACTATTGGTTCACATTAGAATGAAAAGGCTGAGGGAACTCCTTTTTCAGAGTCACAGGAGGGGACCAAATGAATACACAAAGCTGCTCTGTAAAAGCAGCTCAAGCTACTTATTTTTTAAATTGTATTCTGGTAATTCTTTAAATAAAATGAGGGAGAGTATGCAAAAAAAACCAATAACAAAAACAACCCTGATAAATTTGTGAAAAATTATTTGTCTTCACCTGTAACTGACATAGTTCCACATTAAGTGCAACTGTTTTGCAAAACAGGGGCTTTTTTTGTTTCATTTGTTTCCTTAATATTTACAAGGATCATGGTCACATAACAAAATTACCAGAGAGCATGTACAGTAGCTGCAGCTTATAAAACATACCGGTAATTGTACCTTGTGAATTATAAAGAGAACCAATGCAGGATTCAGATAACTAACTGAGAAGGGTAAAGGGGGCCTCAGAGCAGAGGACAAAAAAATTCACATTTTCTACATAAAAAAATACAGGTCTCAAGTCTCTGAGAACAGAGAAAATTCAAAGTCTTTGAATGATGGAAAAAAAGAAGCCCAAAATTGAAATGGAACCCTAGAAGCAAGGCGAGTGCTTTATTTCACTAGACCAATCTTCTTGGCTTCTGTCTCGTATATCAACAACCTCCACATTTTCACTATGAAAACTTCAGCTTCTTCATCTAGTACCTGTAGGAAATACACATTTTACAGATTATTTTTTAGGTTAGGCATTCCAGCAATAAAGACTAATTCTAGACACATCAGAACTACAAAGTGGCAGTAGTGTAATCCAAGTCAAACCTTTGAGGCAGGCACTGGATAAAAAACTTCAGTGAATTTCCATCCTGCATTTATCACCCAACCTGACTCCAATTACATACTTGTAAAATGTAGCTGTTGAGCACTAGAGAGATAAAAGTATCAGTGTCCTGGTCTCCAAAAGCAGCTTGAGAGGAGGCAGAGAAACAGTGTGCTTGGGAAAAATGTAAAACCAGGACATATATATGTGTAGTAGTTTAATTATCTCCTAGTCTCTGCTTGTTTTCATCTTGGAACTTCCTTGGATATTTAGTATGTAATCTCTCAAAGAATTTCTCTTTGAAGTTATTACTCAGGCTTTTCTTGAATCCATGCAAACTTTCAGCATGCACATCTCGAGAAGTTCCCCAAGACTAGTCACACCAAGAACAACCTACTAACTTCCGCTATGTATCTGACTCCTAGAAACTTTGCTGCAGTCTCCTTATTGAAGAGAGTGAAGAATTAGTTTTATTCACCTTTCAGTGCACAGCACTGGTGAATCAGCATATTATTTCATAAAGTTTCTCTTTTACAACACCAGGCAAAAAAGAGCTTCTATTTTTCTAGAGGAAAAAAATCACCTTTTGCTCATTAACTAGGACCAGATTCACTAAACCACTAATAAAAAACTAGTTACAAGAACGAGAAGGAATAACAGTTGATATTTCTGATACAGCACTGTTATTGTTGATTCTCATCTCTGCTGTTAGGAACAGAATTTTTGTTCCACATTTCTGTATTCTAAGCAGGGATCAGTAATTTCTACGTAGATGCTGTAAGCTGCAAACCCATGCCTGTGCTAGCATCATCTGTTTAATCCAAACAGCTTTCGTATCTAACGCACATTTTCTATGCTTGCTCTACAAATGCCAAATATTTCTCCTACAGGCTCTTCTGCAGAGTTGATTTAGCTTCAGTATAATGTACAAGGTGTAACAGTGACACAGTTTCTGCTTACCATGGCAACATCATCCAGTATGCTCTGCGGTGAGCTGTGAGCCATAACCTGAAAGAAACAAATGTTTTCAGACTGGCAACCTGGAGTACAGAATCACAGCATGTTTTGGGATTAAACCATATAAACATCATAGGACAAAACCCAGTTACTTCTCAAGGATTTTGAAATGCTTTACACATGCAAAAACTATTTGCAGTTCATTAGTTCCCAGTTATTAGCCAGAGCGAAAATTAGTATTAAGCCATATCAGATTCCATCACAGTGCTAGTTTGTGGCTAGTTACTGAGGAACAAGTTCCAGGAGGCTCCGAAGGTTCAACAGGTCCTGTATTTGCTCACTACTCTTCCATCTCCAATGAAGCTCCTCTAATTTAAGGAATAAGCTCCCCTTCCTTCAACAATGAATGCCTAGTAGAAGACAAAGGCAAAATTCTCCCCATATCACTCTTCACAACTGAATTTTCCATCTGCCTGTTAAGTACTTAATTTTTTTTTTCCAGAAACAAGTGTGTTGGTATCGGAAAAGGGCATTTTTTGAAAATAAAATTTTATACAATTTGAGCTTGGAAAATACTCAACTTCTGCTTTTCACTTTCTACCAACCAGCTGTGCCACAAAACTATCACTGTTTTGCCTCTTATACAGTAGCCCCCAAAAGATAAAACAAGACAAGCCATTACCAATGTACCACAAAAGCTGACGTTTTTGAAATTCCCTATTAATGAAAAGCCGTAGACTTGTCATAAAGGAAATTGTTAAAATTTATTTTGTAATTTGATGGAAGAAGCTACACAGTTTAGTTTTAATGAGTCATGCAACAGCTAAAAGGTATACCAGAATGACTTCTCATGTTAACTCTAAAACCTTAGTATTTTCTTCCTACTAAGATAACGACAGTATCTAAAAACCTTCTTAAGTTCATCTAGTTAATCAAAAAATGTCTATAAAAAAACTACTGGCTTTTTTTCTTTTCCCCTCTGAATTCACACAAATCCTGTTTTTAATTAATTTAGCATCCAAGGAAGTACTAACTCTGAAATCTAATGATAAAACTATCATTTCCAACAGCTGCTTGTCAACTGCTCCTTTCTTTAACCAGTTGCCTATATTTAACATTTAACAGAGAGCATCTAGCACGTACATATTGTGCGTGCACATTAAAGGGGGTAACTTGTAACACATCAAGGTACATATTGATTCCAAGTACACCAACTGCCTCCGCTGACCCGTATCACAGAGTACGGAGAGGCTGAGACCAGATCGTCTTCAAACAGACACCACAGTTGTTGCTGCAGCTTAAACTGGGAGCGAAACCCAGACCTCACACAGGAAGTGGAAGATACTAACCTTAGAACAAACAAAGTCAACTAGCGTGGCTTCTTCTTCACCAATATATTCTATTATTTTCTTGTTGATCCACGGTCTAATTCGACGTTCCATTAGTGTCTGGAAAAGGAAAAAAAAGGCTTTACTGTCTTGAAACAATACCGCCAGGCAGGCAGTTAGGGGACCCAAACAACTACTTACAAAGATGCGTTTTGCTATCAGTGAGGTAACCCTCAGTGATTTGGCATCTGCAAGTATTTCTGACAGCTATTCAAACATGTTTTTACAGGACCATTTTTCCTCCCTTCCATAAAACTGCTGAACAACTTGTAGCAACAGTTCAGGAGAGATCAAACACAAATAAGCAGGCGTGCTTCAAAGTAAGTATTGTATACGGACAAGAAATGCTCCAAATCCACTCGGGTACCAGGTGAAATTATATACGGACAACGATGCTCCAAATCCATTCGGGTACCAGGAACATTGTTGTTCTATTTAGTGCTACGGCTTGTTAGGAAAAAAATAAGCTTTCCTTGCAAATGGTTAAAGGAAATCCACTTACTGAATCCACAATTGACCAGTCAAGAGGATAAGCAAAGAGCTCTGGTTTTGCTGTGGGAATCTTCTCAATAAGACTCTTAATATGTTTGCGTTTTTCTTCTGTATTGACGCTGCCTTTGATATTGCTTTTATCTTCGTCTCCATAATCCAGTGGGACAAGTTTCCTTTTCCGGGGCACATCATCACTGTCTTCATCATCGAATTTATTGAAAACGCTATCCACAGCAAGCTTCTTCCTTTTTACAGCATTGGGCTGATTAGGACTATTGCAGGCACCTACAACCAAAAAGACAGAATAACGTATTCATAAACTGCCAAGTGAAGCTAGTTTTAAATTCATGCATTTCTTGAGGAATATGTTACCTAAATGCCCATGAATGCCTAGCATCAGGATTTTAATCTCTCAAACTCTATCTCTTTTGCTATTTTTGTTGTATGAAGATCTCCAAAGGAGTTTGTTCGAGATTTTTGAAAAACAGGCATGTCTTTCTCTGCCCTGAAACCAATTAGCACTCTCCCTGAAGAAAAAGAAATAAATCTACTTTCTGGATAGGATAAATCAAGCACAGCATCTGAATAACAACAGTTGGGTACAACTATGCCAAAATGTACAATATGTTTGGAAAACCCTGTGGTTACTCAGCTTGACATTTTTCTTCATTCTGACCCCATACAAAAAAATAAAATAAAATGTCAACTTGCCCAATTTGAGGCTAAGTCCTATTTTTGGCCGATGCTCCTCTGGCTGCTGTTGATCAGGTGAATTTTCATGAGGAATAATAATGCCACAGGGAGACTCATCACCAGGTGTGTTTGGGGTTGCATTTCCACTAGCAGAAGAAACAGACGGGGCAGAACTGATGGGTCGTAAAGTTGGTTTAAGGCAAGGCTTTTGCTCAGGCTCCTCCTCTTCCTCCTCTGGCTCTTCTCTTTTTTCTTCTTTTTCTGCCTTTTCTTCCTCTTCCTCTTCAGACTCTGGCTCTTGTTTTATTTGTGGCTGCCTACGCCGCTCAGCCTCCTGCTCCATCTACAACAAAACAGACAATTAGCAAAATAAACAAAACAAAAAAACCCCCCCAACATTGTCAAAATCAGCTCTGTTTGAAACAAATTTAAAGATCCTCTGTTTCCTAAAGAAGTCTCTGGTAGTCAAAACCAAATACATGCAACTACTGCCATTATAAACAGAAATACTCTCGGAAAGCAATGCTTTGTTTCTGGCTTTCTTACTGCTTATCTGGACTTCTTTTCAAGAAAAAGCAAACAGAGCAAATATTAACTGTCAGATTTCTTACATAGTTTTGCTCAACACCACCAGAATACCAAAGGTTTTTCTTTTTTTTCCAGACCAAAGGCTACTTACCCTCTGGAGTTCTGCATCTGGATCTGGGTGTCCCTCTGCCAGAAGGCGCTGCCTAATTTCTTCTAGTTCTTCCTTTTCCCTTTTCCTATCCCGTTCATCTGCTTCCATCTCTTTCTCCCTGTCTCGTAGCCTCTTCTGAAGAGCACTACCCCTACAAAAGATACGGATTTTGTACTTCAAATAACGTTACAATGAGAACCTTGTACCACAATACAAGAAATATAGAGATGTATCTTTTACTAAATGAATATAAGATTATTGAGAGCATCTGGTGTCTACTATTTTTGTAAGAGGAACCTAAGAGAGAAATTCCCAACCCTACCATATAGAATTTGCCTCACCACATTAAACAGATAGAGAAAATGTGACCACCGACCTTCTTAGAAAAAGAATCACATGACTTTATACATTTTCACTCGACCAGACACAGTTCTGCTAAATTAGTTTGATGCAAATTTTAGTTAGTCCCACGCAGAATGACCTTTTTGCATCCTTCACAGAGCTAACAAGCCTATTTACCACTTAGAATCATAGAACATTTTCAGCTGGAAGAGATCTTCAAGATCACTGAGTTCGACCTTTTCTTGGCCCTATCAACATCCTTTCTCCCTGTGTGCACCACCTTATTTTGGCATTACACTGACCTCTGCTCCACCTCACCCACAAGTTAAGTGATAGGAAGGAGTAGCTACTCCCAAGCACTAACAAGTAGCAGTAAGGAGTTTCCCCTTTTCCCTTTGGCATTTATCAAGCGACACTGAAATAATTATATAACCCTCACATGGCCATATGATCAGTCAAATATAAACTCCATAAGCCTCCGTCAACAAATTCCACAATTTTGTTAAAATGAACAATGAAGATTTATTTTTAGGAATGAATACAAGGATGTACCTGTAGTATTTTGGATCATCTCTGTCATCATCATAATCTTCTAAAAATTCTTTTAACCGTTTGGCTTCTTTTGCCTGCAAGAAATCAAAACATAAGTAACATTATAAAATTATTTCTGGCTTTCTTCCCAAGAGTTTAAAATTAAGTAATACTAATAGTACGTTCATTTTATATCTACTATACTTCAGACTAAAAATACAGAGTTTTCCAGCCAGCAAATGGAAACATTTTGGAATTTGCATCACCTTCCAAGGATCTGTCAACTTGCTATCACAGCAACAGCAGATATGACATCGATTAGTTTTAGTTATGCAAAGAAACAAATCTAATGAATATTTCTAGAACAAGCCCTCTATTGCTTTTACTATTCCAAACCTTGTGGGACTGTATTAATGCACAGGCCTAAAACTGAATGAGGTGAGAGGGGCAGACAGGAGATATTTTAACCCCTACTCTGATAAAATGAAAAAAAAAAAAAAAAAAAAAAAGAAAAACCCCAGTTATTTAAGGAGAACATAAATTAGAACATTCTAACACGTATCTAAGTGATACTGCAAAGTTAATGATTGAGAAACAAATTATGACTATGTTGCAAATTCTGCACAAAATTTAACACTGCTCTCTACAACTGCCACCCACAAACCGCATCCACAAGGACTAAGAGTAGAAAATATCCTTGAGTTGTTCTCAAATATATTTTACTCCCTCTCAAGCCTTTAGGAGGGAAAATTAGATGCTATCTAAAACAATGTACTTTCTAATTTTCTTTTTTTCTTTTTCTCTTCTCTTTCCTTAGTCTCTTTGCATATTTTGTTTGGAAGCAATTCCCAATCTATCTCCTACTTAGAACTGTCTCCTATCTTCTCTCCTGTGGGAGAATTATGAAGTCAGTAACACCACCATAATTTAAAATAACTTCTTTACACATTAGCACAAAATTTCTCGATTACAGAAATACCTTCCAAAGGTGTCTTTTTGGACAAAACTTCCAGGCGTTATGTTGATAACCATGATAACTTCCCAACCACTGACCCAAAAGGTAGATATTTCTGTAGCGCTTAGATATATTATAGAACATTATAACAGGTTCTGTTACAAATCTGACACAAATGCAGGTTACAGATGTAATAGTGCACGATGATCAAAGCACAGTATTTTGCAGTTGCCTATTTCTCACTCTTTTGCCTTCGCAAGACCAAGTCACTAGGCTTTGTTTTCCAGATTCTCAATAGTACTCTCACTTATAAGACATCTTCAATTTCAAGTCTATTAATTCTTCTTCATTGTATAAAAATGTACAGTGTGTTTATACAAAAAGAGAGCTGTATCACTATCGATAAAGATAACAGTAAAATGTTCTACTCTAAATGGGACCCAAAGAACAAGGGGAAAAAATTAGAAGTAAAACTATAAGCCTTACCATTTCCCTTCTTCTTTCTTCTTCCCTTTCAGCCTCTTTTTCATACTCTCGACTTTTCTTCCGTTCTCTTATTTCCCAGTTTTTAAGACGCTACAACAGAAAAAAAAAATATATATACTCCCACCTCAAGAACATTAGGCATGGGGTACTACTTCAAAATTAGTTTGTATTACTGTTTAAAATAAACTGCATTAAAATTCAGCAAAGCATTTATAATTTAAACCAACAGAGTAAGAAGTCCAACATTATCCTGACAGTGACTTATGTATTCTGCCCTAATTCATGTACTCAAAGGACTAAAAATGTATTTGGGAAAAGGAGAGGGAGAAGGAATGATATATTTTCTAGTAAAAGACTTATTATCACCCCTCAAAAATAATTTTTTCCTTAAGGAAATCCCAATCTACCTCTTGATATGCAGCTTCTTTTTCCCGCAGCTTCCTCTCCAATTTTCGGCGTTCATAGGCATCTTCCTCGTCTTCTTCTCGGTCTCTCTTCTTATCCTTCTCCCGTTCTCGTTCCCGCTCACGTTCTCTTTCCCGTTCCCGCTCGCTTTTTCTCTCGTTCCCGTTCTCTTTCCCGTTCCCGTTCTCTTTCCCGTTCTCTGTCTCTGCTTTTTTCTCTGAAGGAAGGAGTCCAAATTTAAGTACAGAGCCTTCCTCTCCACTCAATCAGATGATTTAACTTCAAATGCCTCATGTGTTATTTCTAATATCCTGAAAGTTATTCTTCTGCAACTGTACCAGATGGTTAGCTGGTACAGCAACGGGCTGCAAACCCCCATTTACTTAAAAGCAGTAGTTTAAGCACTAACCATTAAACAGGGGTATCTACAGAAATTAAGCGTGGGCTCATCGCAACTCATATCAGACCATGTTAGTAGTTCCCCAGGAATGACAGCTAAAGCCCCCACAAATGAAGGGTATGCTTAATAAATCCTTCAGGTTTATGTGGCTCACAGACAACTTGAACCCTACTGACAAGATGACTTGAAGAGAAACAGCTATTTTTTCTAAGGCAAAGAGAGAAGAAAAAAGCAGCACCTAGACCCTGATATGATTACTCACAGTTTAAGACTGAATCCCTTTGCTTTTAGTAAAAGCGAACACACAAGAAAATCTAACCCAAAAAACCACAACCACCACCAAATAACTCCACATAACAAAGGAAAAGGTAAAATCTGCCTGAGAGATACCGCAGACACAAGAGAACTTCAAGTATGAATAAAGCTACCTATGAAAAACAAGAGTGATCCAAGATAAAAACCAGTACGCTGAAATCACAGTTGGGTGGCTGTTTCCTGCATATCGCAGTCCTTAGATTCCTGTGCTGTGGAAGGAATTAAATATTCTCCCCATTTGTGTAAATACAGCATTTTCTCAAGTTTTGATTCCCTGATCTTCCAAAAAGGACCATTCCCGTTCAAGTGGCAGCAAGCGATTTGCTAACTGTGTGCACTTAGCACACAGCACTGGGAAAACCAGAAACAAACAGCAACTCCAGTGCATTTACCTTGATCTGCTCCGATCCTTGCGATCTGAACTCCTCTCGCGATCTCTGTCACGATCTCGGTCTCGTTCACGGTCTCTGTCTCGGTCCTTAGTTCGGTCCCGATCCCTATCTCGCTCTCGTTCACGCTCCCGTTCCTTCTCCTTCTCTCGTTCACGTTCCCTCTCTCTTTCACGCTCCCTCCTTTCTCGTTCACGTTCCCGTTCCCTTTCTCTTTCTCTGCGTTCTTTTTCAATTTCCTGTCTTTCTTTCTCCTTTTTGCCTTTTTCCTCCTCCAGTTTCTAAAAACCAACAAGAGAACTTTCATAGTTAATTCTGTAGTTACAGGAGCGGGATATTCCCGGCGCAACACACAAGGCTGGTAATGGAAATACCAAAACCGCCACCGATTTTTAAAATATTAAATAGGGTCTGATGGGTATTTCTCGAAACTCGTAAGTATGAAATCAAAATGCAGCAATCACAAGACTAAGTTTCGTGCAAAAGCATAGATCTACACAGACCAGCAATCTCCAACCTTAGCAGACTAGGGCTGGCCTCATATAACAAACTGACTAAACTGCACGTACACAGTGCACTGCCAGTCACAATTCAGGTGGGCCACAAATTCCATCGGCCCTATGAGCCACTTGGGTAAAAGCAAAGTGAGCTTCTAGCTGGGAGAATTAATTCTGTTCAACCAGGAAAATATATTCAGTAGAATGTTTATTGGGCCAGTGAGGTGTTTCCCAAAACGTCTTGGCAGACCAAAACCGTCCTATATGCAAACTTGGGTAAAGAAATTTATCCACTTACACGTGGTGCGTGTGGTTAAACAGTGAAGAGAGCTGCAACCTTTCCCCTTTTCCCTCCCTAAAAAAGTTCTAACAGTTCATTGGTAAGAACTGGACTCTGTAGAATGGAATCCTTAACTTCCACCACTGCAAGATGGAAAGAGTTAAAAAAAGGTTGGAAATAGCTCTTTTGAAACACAGAAACTAAAGGGTTACCTGCTACAGTTTTACTAAAAATTGTACAAAATTGCCACTTTTTTTTTTCAATTAGAAACAGTTCCTATGACCAGAATTCCTATAAGACAATAGAAAATACATCAAAAGAATGATAGATAAATCCATCCTTGGAAGCAATTGTTATGTGTTAACTTACAGATGCTGTGCTAGGACATGGACCGCCAACACTGGATTAACCTTGCCTATAAGCTATGTTTCTGGGAGGAAGAGCAAGTACACGGTTCACAAATATACCAAATAACAACCAAATATACCAAATTTCAACCTGATGGATGCCAGAATATCACTTTTTTTGGAACAAATATTGAGCAGAATAAACACGTTTATCCCCTTTGGCTCCACGTTTACCATCACTGAAATGAAATTAAAAACCGGAACAATGAAACAGCATTTTCTCTGGTTTGTTTCGTTTTTGGTTTTTGTTTTTTTTTTCTTTTCTTTAAAACAAAGCATTTAAGACAACTTTAAAAAGCAATCTTACCTGATAACTCTTCTTCTGCCATAGGCACAGGGACCAGAGAACCGACAAAGGATTACAGAAATAAAGCTAATTCACTAGTGATTAATGTATCCAGTGAAACTACACTGCATTGATAGCACAATACAGGCAAACCAATGTCGGATACATTGAAATCACAAAAGGAAAAAGGGACTAAAAATGGTAGGAATTGGCAGAAAACTGATATGAAAAAAACAAAACTTAGATTCTACAACATACACTGGGCTGAAAACCAATTTCTAAAGGACTGTATTTTACAGGAGCTTTACAGCATTAAACCTCAGTACGGTCAGACGTTAAACTAGGTTTGTCCACTTTTAAAAATCCAACTTACCTCAAATTTCATTTACTTTTAAAGAAAAGTTTACATACTGAAGTGGTTGATACTTACAGGTTATCTTAGATGTTCCAATAGAAATTTCTTTGGTTGAACTCCTGCTTTTTTGCCACTCTCAAAAGCTTTGTTTGTGGTGAAATTTCTCAAGAGAGTGGAGTTTGGGTATTTCATTTATTTATTTATTTTTAAAACCTATTCACACAAGTGTAAATACACATACACACAAGTCTTGGTGTATTAAAATCCGTTTTGTAGGTCCGCTTTCTTAAAATCCAATTGAAAAAGATAAAATGTTCTCTTTTGTAATCAAAATCTGACCTCATCAACTCTATCAGCCTAAATAAGAGGATCTGAAAAGGTAATGGGATGGGAACAGTATCAGATAAATTGAAGTAATGAACAGAAATGAACAGGTAGAAGAATTATAAATCTTACCTTGAGCTCTCTTCAGACTCGTCCGTGCTGTAAATGGACGCCCCCTGCAAGTCTGATACCCTGACAGTCTGTGGTTATTGTTTTATAAACTCATACCAAAAACATGCAAAGGTTCACTGTGCTCACTAGCCAGCTTCTAAAGATTCAACAGCCCCTTTTAAGCATATCCAATATATACAATGACTACTTTCAGTTGGTTTTTTAATGTTGAGAGACCCAAAACAGCCCACTCAATAAATACAGATTCAAGGCAGTAAAACGCCCAACAGCTTCTGAAACAACGAAGCATATTTTTTGTTTGTTCATTTCCTTGGTTTTTGTTTAAAAAACTTGTTACTTGTTTGCATCTTAGCACCAGTGACAACTTGGGGCTCGGAACCGAACACAATTCTATTGAAGTTTCACCACTGACCAGTTTCACGTTCAATTGCTGAGCTGCTCCAGATGATTCCTTCTAGAATTTTTCCCCAGGATTTTATCTCCAACAACTTAAGTCAAGAGAAAAACTGAATACATGTACATACAAGGTGTAGTCATTTGTGGTTACAGATACAGTTGCGTGAAAACCTGGGACTGTCCCCGGTGACTGCATGTGGTGATGCTGAGTAACACGGGCATACGTCACCTCGCTGTACCTGCAACATTTTCTTTAACGTTGATTTAGGGGTATTTTGAAACAATAGTGCGTGCTCAAAGGAGGAGCTTGCTGCTACTTCCCTAGGCCAAGGACCATTCCAGTCTCGTTGGGGAAAAAAGTAATACCAACTTTAAGCTACACATTAGAAGAAGAACGCGACATGCATAGTTGTGCTTTACTATCTGCAAATACCATTTTCCAAAGCAGAAACATTCACAGATGCACCAGCATTAGTGGAAACTTCTACAAGTGGTAACCCTGAGGTGGGACTCGATGTGCACAAACGTTTCCAAGCCAGTTACCCCTTTGCATATTTTTCTGAGGGGGCATCCATAAGTATAATAAAAAACAGAAGCTCATACTTACATCCTATTCCATGTTACTTTCCAAGCTGTGAGTTTCATCTTGCATTAGTCACCATATGATCTCTATCATAATGGTGGGGGTCAATGAATAGATTAGCTTTATGGGAATTTACAGTTCTTCCATGCATCTAAAGTTTGGTAAGTCTGGTAACCACTGACCTAGTTTTAATCTTCCCCCACACTTAACTTAGAACCATTAAAATAAAAGACTTAAATTTAATTCAAGTTTCAATTCGTCATAAAATCTTGGATTATGTTACAAATCTACCTACAGAAACACACTCAAGTGTATGTTTTATACTGCAGCCCCGTTTAGCCTTTAGTTATAAATATCTTGACTTAATGTATGTGTAGAAACTTAAGTTGCCTTTATTCATGTTAAAGTGAGAAGACTGCAAAATACTCAGTAGCAATCAAAGTCTTAGCATAAAGATGTCAAGGGCCACTTTAACGTGGTAGTTGTCTTTTTTTGACTTGTAAAGAACTATATGTCTATTAAACCTAATATAAACATAATTTTAAGTGATACTGCAATGCACTGCTAAATTTTATAATAGTGGTTTTTTGGATTTTGAAAAGCCTAATTTGTATCAAGCGCAAAAACAAGAATACTACCTTGTGTGTGTCTCTGAATTTACTGATCTCTCTTGATATCAGGTCTCTTTTGTCTTCCTCCATTTCTATAGCATTTATATCCTCCTAAAAAACAAGGGGGACAGGAGGAAAAGCATTAAGAGCCATCTGTACAGACATAGGAGAACAAGAGAAAAGCTGAAGGTTAGAAGTTTTCAACCAGTCTTGCAAGAGATAAATAAAGTCCTTCTGCAGTACCAAACCTGACAGTCTGATGTTAATGAGTGAAAAAAAATAAATAAATAAAAATCAGATGGACAAGAGTCACAAATCTGGCAACTAGCAGTAAACATAGTCATTGTCAAAGCCTACAATGTAAACGAACCTTGGTGATGAGTGGATAAGGTATCAGTGGGGCCACTGGAAATCTGCGGAAAATCTGCGGAAAAATCCACGGAGATTTTTTTTTTTAAAAATAGATTGCACACTACTCTGAAAAACAATGCTTTGTATGTTTGCACTACAAGGCAATATTGCATTGCTGTGATGTCATTTCTTTGATTCAACAAAATTACAGAAGAACCTCGCTAATTCTCCCTTCTCTGAGCTACTCGGAATATGTAGTGAGGTCTCGTATTAGTAAGACTTCACGGAATTACAAGTGTACTACAGGACATTAGTACGCTATGGCAGCATCATAAACAGGACTAAGCTACGCTTGCCAATATAAACCATTGGTATATTTGGTGGGTAAGTCTGGATTTTCTTTACTCGCTAATTCGCAAAATTTGACAGATTGCACCTGCTAACTAATAGTTAGTGCGAATTAGCGAGGTTCCCCCGTGCTCGAAATTGAAAACCAGATTCCACTCACTCTCAGTTCCCCGCACACATTTTCAACTTCCCCCACATCAGGCATGCCTTCATCCAGAAGAACTAAAAAGACTCTGCTACTAACGCCAGCGGGAGTCTTCTTCATACCAAGCTCTTTGAGGGACAATGGCCCCAAAGCTGGCGAGCTTCCCCGCGCCAACCCGCCCCCAACCATGAATCTGCATCCACCTTCCCTTTCCCCCCACCCTCCACAGTCCTCCTCTCCCCTCTCCTTTAAGGATAGGAGAGCAACAAGCTAGGACCATCTCTTCTCCACTCCCACCTCTATCCACACAGGCCAAAGATGGCAACTTCCAAGTTTTTTTTTCTCCTTCCCAGTATGGGAGGGATGATGGGCTGCAATTTCAACCCATGTGTGCTATGTATTTTTAAGAGCTTATTTGCCTAGCTGACTAGCTCAGACTGGTCAAATTCTACATCAGAGCTAGCAGAACATCCCTCTGTCCCAGGGACATGCTCAGTACCCAGCTCTTCCAAGACTGCAACGGTCTCTTACAACGTTTCACTACCTGGTATTATTCATGGCCATATATATAAGGTACCCACAGGACAATAGAGATTTTAACAATGCTTGTAAAACAAACAAAAAAAGTACAGCTGACAGCATTAGACAGTGACTCATTTGTAAATTCTCATCCAAGACAGCGTCTTCTCCCAAAGGGAGGGAGAGGAAAGAAAAACAATTCTCAGCTCAGCACTTGTACACCTCAGGTTAGCCATGGCTAATAAAGTTGTGGGGGAGACAAGACTCGCTCCCTGAGGGAGATGTTGCTTCTTGCACCACACTGAAACTCCATTTGAAACTGCATTATTGCCTTGGAATAGGTACTTTGCAGAAGACTTAAGCGGGTAGAAATCTTGGTCAAACCATTTTCCAACCTCTTTCATATTAGGTGCAGAACGGTAGGTATGAAAGCCCATTTTGCCACAGTTAGGAACTTGGCTGGAAAAGCCAAGTCTGAGTTTGCTCATTCTTATTCCCCTTTCTCCAGTTTGGTTTAATCCATAAAAAGGTCATCCACAGAAGCAGGCCTAAACCAGAACATTCACTCCTGCTTAACAGGGTATTTTTGCGTTACACGATACATGAAAACCAGCTGACTGAATCCAGCCAAATTGAGACATGCATGTAAAAGTGATTTTGTAAGGCAGGAAGATTACAATATGCCTTTCATCCCTGAAGGATCCCTCCAAGGTTTGTGAGGTATACTTATACAGAACTAATGAAGCACTTCCACATCTGGGGAGACAGCTGCAATCTGTTGGATCGTGGCACACTACAAGAATGCACACTTTAAGTGGAGAGAAGAAGAATTTTGTCAAAAACTACCAGAGCAAATTCCTGCCATTACAAAAGAGCCCTGGCAACTTTCAATGGAAACAGACGATATGCAGGAACTCTACGGTTGTTTAAAGTTCTCATTTGAAAAAGCCTACATTTACATAGAGATTAAACTGCACTAAATTCAGCATTTCCACCTTCAGGATAAAAGGTTGGTTCAATCCTGCCCAGGTTCAAACCTGTTCTTCCAAAAAGTCTAAGTGCTTAGATGTCTAAACCATCCTGAAGGGATGGTGTCTATAACTGACTAGCTTTCAGCTTAAAAAAAAAAATTTTTAAAAATGAAACTGCTGCTGACATCAATGCTTGTTGATCTGTTTTCTCATCAGAAGTTTAGGTTTAAAGTATTTGCACAAGGTTTGGCCATTATATAAAGGTGAGTTGAAGAAAAAAAAAAATCTGTTTTGTCCAAAATCAAAACACATACGTCCTCCTTCTTTTCCTTTTTCTTCTTCCTGGGATGAGAGTCAGATTCCTGGGAGGGGGCATTGAGCTCGCTGGAATATTCTCGTATTAAGACTTCAATGGCCCCTTTAATTATCTGATCTCTTCTCTTTGTTTCCTCATCTAGTGCTTCCTCGTCATCATTTGTTGTCTCTGGTCTGGTGTTCTAAGGAAAAATAGCAAAGTAACAGGAATCAACAAATTGAGAATAGTATTAGTTTTATTTCACAAGTTTACCGTTGATCATCTCACTCATGCCCCTAAAGCATTTACTAACAAAAAAAATCCCAAACCAAAAAAAACGCCCAAAAGACCAAAACAATCCACAAAACACCTCCCAAAAAGAAACAACAAAATCACACCACCAAAACCCAACCAACTCCAAAAAAGTCACCTACAAGTAGTTATAAATTGCATTCTCTTAGATCTTTTCACACTGGCAATACCATAGGGATCACGTAGTTTCACAGGTGGAATGGCCGCAGAGAGCAAGTGCAGGATTGCATAATAAAACAGGACAGATAAACAGTGATTAAGGTGGTAGATGGAAAAAAGAAAGTGCAAGCACGCTCACAGAAAGGCAATTGCTATAGTCCAGCTCTTGGTCAAAAGTTTCTGCTGGGTATCCTCCAGAACTTCAAGTCATTTCAAGAGCAGTTCCTCAAAGCCACCTACGTAAGTGCCATGCAATACAAGGGTCTACCTTTAACTTCCAAGCTGCAGCTTGTAATGGGACAACTATACTAGAGAAACAGCGTTAGGGGAAACATTCCTTCTGCCACAAACATTTTCTTATTGTTGATGAATCACTTTGCAGTTCCTCATCTTTTTGCCCCTTTACGCCTTGTAGGTAGGAAAAGGAACACGCAGAAAAAGTGCATTTCACCAGAGGTCACATGGAAGGACAGAACAACCAGCTGCACACTGAGCGCAAGGTAGCCCACCTCCTGATCCCCTCAACCTTTGAGAAAAATGGAATCTCACCTGAGAATCCAGCTGCATATCCCGTCAAGCGATAGGTGGTGGGTGGAGTGAGGGGGAGGGAAGGGTCTGATGGAGCAGCAGCTAAGAATGAGGGGGAAGGGAGGATTCAGTTGGAGCTGAAGAGGCTGCCAGGCCAAAGAGGAGCAGGCCAAAAAGAGCTAGAAGGCAGTGACAGGGAGTGGAACTGAAGAGGTCCAGGAAGAAGAAGTGATCAGGGAGAGGAGCTAATTACATAAAGGTTTACTTGATGTGTCTCTATAAGAAATTGTGTCAAAGCGCACATGTTCGATTCTTAATAAAAAAATGATTAAAAGAAAAAAGCTGCAACTTTTGGATCTGAGTGGCAGCAGCACACCAACGATGGTATGAAAGGAATCGCAGGCAGCGTGATTACAGTATGCTGCATCAATTTTCCTTGGCCTTTCTTTGCACCGCCACAAACAAAAAAAGAAACCTCAAAGCTTTTTGGAGCTAATCTCACTCCACAGTTCAATAGAATTGGCACACACTGTCGACTTCACCAAAGCCACAGACAGCAGTCTCTGCTTTATTACCATCAATCCTGGGGGACTGACAGTAACCCACAGGAGCTCACAGAAAAAGTTCACGAGGGAGATGCACAAGAACTTCACTGATACTTTAAGTCTGTTTGTAATACCAGCTGTGAAGCACAGTATTAAAGGTGATGATAACAGGAAACAAGTATGGAAGGGAGGGGGCAGTCAAATCAAACCCTTATACTCCACTAAAACCCCAGAGCTAGCACCCTGCTTCCCTGACCCACTGCATTTAACCCCACACACCAGGTACACAGTCAAGAATGTGCCAAGTACTTCGAGTCATCATTATGCCTCTAGCTCTGGTTAAATAAAATGAAATAAAAGAACTTGTGTTCCCACTGTATTTTACATACCTTTAAGAACAATTCCAAATTGGAATTTTAAAAATTTACCTGCTACTGCATGATTAGTATTTTTAGTTTTCTGAACAAGAGCCTCTTCTCATTTTCATTTTACAGAAAACTATGAAGTACTATTTTAAGGCATATGCAGAACTTTCAAATAGTTAGAGACCAAGCCAAACAACTTCCTTGTGATGTGAAATGCATGATTTTATCAAATAGATAAAATCCATTTTAACATAAATTTGTCAGTTAAGTATCTCTGTATATCACAAGAATTCAACACATCAAATATCTGCAATTAGGATCTACAGATCTTTAGCTCTGGAAAGGAATGGTACAAAACCAATTTCCTCATCTGCTAAATGACTGTAAGCCGCCCACTGCCTGATAACTCCATCAGCTACTGAACAATCTACTTCTTCAATTTTCATTAATTTGTTCTAGATCATCATCAGTGGAGGGGAAACTCCAGTTCTCCTCAGACAGCTGATTTACAGACTCTGACTAATAATTACTTCTGGAGTTCATATACTTTCAAGAGGTTCTAAACAAAAACAAAGCAACAGAATCACAAGGTATAGCACATATTACTACACTTTAAGAATGAATTTTAGAATTAATTCTAGATAGTCAGTTGCAGCTGACAAGGAAGTTTGAATGGTGGTGAATTAAGAGCTTATACTTCATTGCTTTTCAACGTATCTGCAGACTCATTAATGTGGTTCTGGCAAAATCCTAAAATTAATTAAGGGCAGAGACAAGAAAAGAAAAGAAAAGAGACACACTCACAATCTGATCTAGCAACTACGTTACATTGTCCTCCTGCCAAAATAACACAAGCCACACATTATATACGTACCCCATTAGAAGCCTTTTTCTTTGCTTTCCATTCATCTAGCTGAGCCTTTGTCTTTGCATCAACTTTGACTAGCAGCTTCTTCTCTCCAATCTGGAGGTCATGGAGTAGTCTCAGTGCTCGTAGTGTGGATTCTGGTTCTTTGTACTCACAGAATCCAAAGGCTGAAATGAACGATTGAAATGAAAACTAAGTGTTAAAACTCCTCAAATAAATTTACTTTGTGTAAAAATAAACTCTTCTTTTTTTAAAACCAGAAGTACACATGATAAAAAGTCAGAAATATCATTCATTGCCTTAGTCTTTGATATAAATAACGGCCCAGTGAATAAGGTGAAAGGAATGCATATGTTGTACATGCCCCATCCCTGGAAACATCTGAGGTCAGGTTGGACGGGGCTCTGAGCAACCTGATCTAGTCGAAGATGTCCCTGCTAATTGCAGGGGGGTTGGACTAGGTGACCTTTAAAGGTCCCTTCCAACCCAAATGACCCAACAATTCTATGATCGTGTCAAGCCGCTGACATGTCTGTCTTAACTACGTAGTGGAGCCTCCATGAAGACATGTCCCAAGTGGATTTGCAAATGTCTGAAGAGCAAGGATGGCAATCAACAGCTCATTGTTAACCTAAAAGGAGTATTTCAAACTACATTCTTCACAACAGTTACAAAAAGTGTAAATGACAAAAACACCTTATGAGAGAGAAATAAACAAAGTATGATATATAATAAAGCTTAAAAAAAAATTTTACATCTTAAAAAACCAAAATACACAACAACAACAACAAAAAAAAACCCACAATCTAGGAAAGATATGAGAACACAAGCAGAAAAAAAAAAACAACCAAAATTTCTTCCTGTATCCGCTGCAGAAAGGTCACAAGAAAAAAATGAATCAGTTCAATTTGACAATAGGGAAGGAAGATAAATTTTACATCAGAAAAACCTCCTTGACAGAGAAGGATAACATGTAGCAGTGGAAGAGACTATTAACAGTGATGGAAATATGCTCCTCTGGAGGCTACGTCCAAACTGATAAACCTTTCTCAGGGATGATGTTTGAACTCTGGATTCAGTCTCTGAACAGAAATAAGCAAAGTTAGGCCCATGAGACATTTTCCCATGTGAAAAAAGTAAAACTGAGAGAGTTTTTATGTCTTGATTTCAAGGACAGAAAAATACTAGCCCTTTACTAGGAAGTATTCAGCAGTTAAGTATCATATGCGGTTTCTTAAAATGTAAAAATATTAAGAATAACAATGTGTCAAACATATGAAAAGCTGCCAGGTAATAAAAACTGGAGCCTGACTCAAGATTTTGAAAAGTATGAACAATTACCTTGAAGTTTCCCAGATGCCCCTTGTACTCTCTTCCAACTCAAAACCAAGCCACACTTCTGCATTGAAAGATAAACATTATTCAATGTAATAGTTTATGTTCAAAACGTTACAAAAATATTTTTTTGCACAAGATGACAAGTAAAAAGGGAAAATGCTACTAAAAAAGTATGTCTGGGTTCATCGACACCCACAGCTTTGAGCTCACTCACTTGAAACTTGAGCATAATAGACTGCTAGTCCAATGCGTGGGACTAACTTTACTTTTAGTTTCAATCCACTGCTTGTAGGTTACTACTTCATTCATCAGGCAGGGATGAAATTTAACAAGCAAATCACGGTACTTACTGCAAGAAGCTGCCGTATGAGCATGTCAGAGGCCTTCTCAGAAATGTTGCCTACAAAAACGGTGGTAGTGGGACCGCTGTTTTCATCATTTTCTTTGTTCTTTAAGCCCGGATGTTCTTTTCTGACTCCCAAATGTTTTCCAACCATAGACACTGTGGTAGGAACTAACACCTAGAAAAAGGAGCAGAGCGTGTTAAGTGTTGGGTTGTGGGGTTTTTCATTTAAATCCATAAGATAAGAGATGAGGATGCACATATATTTCAGAATTAAATTTTCATACGAACCAAAGTTAGGCTTACAGAGTGAGACTAGTAAGTGGTTCATGCTTTAACACTTTATACAACACAAGACTGCCATTTTCTGGTAAAGACAGACAAAAAGAAAAAGGTGTACCTGAACAGGCCTACTGCAAGGTCTTAAGTTGAGCATACAGTAACACTAGGTATTATTTCTTCTACAAATTACTAATTTCCAACATCTGAGTTACTTCACTGGAAGCTGAAGTACCTTACCTAACAGTGTAAAAAGCAAGCTGCAAACAGAAAAGTAACTCTGCCTCAGAAGGCTTCAATGGGTTTATAACATATCTTAAAGCTTTGACAAAGTGAATAAACACTACTGCTTTATTTAATCTATGCACAACCCAAGGCCTCTTTGGGTTAAGGAGTAAAACGTCTGTAAAGTAAACTGCATAGAGATAGGCATGATCAGCTGTTCCATTTTGCTGCACCTCTCTCCTTCCACCTAAGATTTAACAGTACATACTCCTTGAGTCCCTTTTCTCAAAGCACGCCTCTGAAAGTGTCACTTATTAAAAATTATTTTAATCAGAAAGATGAATAATGCATTCCTTCCAGTACCTTCGTCTTAAATCCACTGCTTACCATGAACATATCCTGTAACAGATCGTAAAAGCTATCGAAATATTGAGTATTTTGGGGAGATTTCACTTACGTAACACCACAGAAACGGTGATTCACCTCGAAGCCAAGAAGTAGCCTTTACACTTTCAGGAGCACTTTTTCCACCCCATACATCATAAACCTTCCTTCCAACTAGAAATATGTAAGACAAACCAAGCGACTTTTCTCTCACATGCTCTTCCACAGACATATATTCCGTGCAACTAGTCCTTTCCTTGCAACATGGGGAAAGGAGCTTGTTCATGAGCTTGTCAGCTTTCTGGACAACTCCACGGTGCTGCGTGACAGCCTTAGCCTAGATGAGGTGATGCCTCCGGAGCGCTCTGTTAGGTTAATAACCTCAAAATCTAACTGTACTGCGTAGGAAGACCATGCATGACTCGAAGGCAAAGCCCAAATCATGGTGTTTGAGAGATGCACATCTTGCAGGAATAGTAACTGCTTCACCTTTGCAGCTAGCAGCTCCAGGCATTATTTCAAACTTTGTCTAGGTCAGAAATTAGCAAAATATTTGCCTAACAGTTGCACTTAATTTCCATTCGTAGTATGAATTCTCATGGAATAGAGCAAACCAAAAATACTGGTGTCACATACTAAGTTTCAGTTTAAATTTTATTTTGCTATCATCTCATTCCCGCTGTAATACTTACAGTAGGAGCAGGAGCCATAATGCCCATTGGTACTGGAATCATAGGGGTCCCTGAGAAAGGCAAGACATTAAGATTAGTATGTTCTGTCAAGATTACTGATGAATACAAATGAACTGATCCAAATAACAAAGCAATTTTGGTCAAACAAGAATTTCACAGTATTGATTACCAGTAATTTCTTAAGCTTTCAAGCACAGCCCAAGTACATTAACACACTATGCACATCCTGATCACTTTTAGCGTGTTACCGTTTCAACTTTGTCACAAACGCATCTATTTTCAAACCACATTCAAATCACAGCATTGTTCTAGAAGACAGCCGTGTGATTGAGGCAGGGAATGCCTTGGGGAGCAAAAGCAGTTGAAGTCCTACAGATGATAACTCATTCCTGACTTGCCAAATTCCCACAGCACCATCGATTCTGCATCCAGTTTAGGGATGAGGTCCTACAGAGAATGCCATCAGCTTCATGCTGTCTATAGAATAGTTTAATAAAGGCAGCACAGAATACTTCAATCGAGAAGCTCCCTACCTGCTGCATACTTGACCCGCCAGTGTCTAAAATGTAAGTTTAAAACAATATTTAATCAGGTGAAATCATGTAATACTCTCTTTTCTACTGTGAAACTCACTGGCAGCTTTACATACGATCATGTAAGACAAAACCTGATCATAATAAAGGCTGCTTATCTCTCCATGACAGCTGCTAGAGGAGATAAAAGACATTAAGTGAATGGATTTCAAAACTACTTGCTGGACAGTAAAGATACTGAGAGTCAGAAACAATGAAGTCAATCTCACATTCTTCAGAGAAATACCCTCTAAGGATCCTAGATCTCTTTGTTCTACAAAACCAACTTTCTTTGTCTTTCACTTTCAGTCCTTCCCTTCTCCATTTCTCTTACTGCTGTATTCATAAAATCTTAATCCAAATTCTGCAGCCTATTCTTTCTGGACTTCTTCCTCCACTTTCTCCAGTGCTTAGTCCTGAAATAATACTTCTCCTCAGAGGAGAGGGCTCCAGGCTTCTCCTCATCCACTTTGGTTTTGTTTTGATTCCATCACTTACTTTTCTCAATCATCCAATCCTGTTCCTCAGACCCTTCATACTACAGTCATACTACCTCCTACTCCTGACTGGAGGAATTATTCTAGGACAAGACTCTAGTTAAGCAGCCCTGTAACTAAACTATTAGAACTATAGTTATCATGGTGCTGAACTTCGACTTTAAAGTTACAACTCAGTAAAGATACTTGCAGTATCACTGACAGTTCTTTAAAATTATCAGCCCAACACTCAGCAGAAGCCAAAGAAATATTTACTACAATATGTCAGGCCTCACCAGCGTACTGATGATCAACGTACTGATGACCAAGAGAGCTGCTGTAACATACACAGTGCACCTATACCTTGACTAATGTCTACACGCCTGGTGCCTCCAACCCAAGAGCAACACGTGACCTTAGAGAGTAGCAACTAAGTGTTGAAGCAGGAAAGACTCCACGCTTTGAGACTCTCAGGTTTGCAAGGCGGGGAACATAACTCAGGTGCACAAAATCACAAAACCGAAGGTGTCCAGCTCCCACATCAGAACTGAGGGGGACACTGAGGAGGCAATGAGTTTAAAGACAGACATAAGTAGCACTTAACATGCTTACTGGTTAATGAAATTTGAGAATTTGGTGCAAGAAGCGACAGTGGAGATGGACAGTATCAGCAGATTCAAAAAAGATAAAGATGTTCATGAGTGACAGGTGCAGCAAGGGATAAAGGAAAAATGAAAGATGATACTGTAACCTCCCTAACACTATAGCTGTAGGATGGAATGGACTCAGAAAGCGGAGGTGTACACATCCACCCTAAACACCACGCTGTGTTCCCACTGCCCAGACAACCCATGAGGCTGTACAGACTGCTGGTCTGACCCTCTGCAGCATTTCTCACACAGAAACCACTATTTTATACGTTTTAATTGTACCAAATAATCTTCAGAAATGATAAGAGTTATCAGAATCACTTCCTTATCAAGTCTTCCACATTTAGAGATGGAAATGCTAGAACTTAACTTTTAGCAGCCACATTTTTAAGCAAAACAAAATATTTTTCCCAACTTCATTCTTACACAAGCAAACCGCTGAAATTTTTAAAAAAAATTAATAGGCTGAGTAAGATAACTAGAGCATGAAAACTGGCCAAACAGCTCACTAAAGATAATATTCTAAGCCACTAAAATCATGATCCTGCGTATGGCATAATTTCAGAGTAGACATCCATAAAATCATGGTGGCATTTTCAACTCTACTGATACACTTGTGCTAAGAAATGAGCAATCTATATCCTCTACATATCAAAAATGTGTTATCTGTACAGGTGAGCAAATCATGTTCCTATTGTACATAGAAAAATTAATTCCTGCTTAATACCAAGCTCCTCCATTCTACATAACTGTTTGCATTACTAATACTGGAACAAGACTATTTATATATAAAGTTAAACAGAGCAAGAGAACAAAAAGATCTTTGTTGCGCACATTAAGAAGCAAATGTTCAGAGCAGAAAACTGTATCAGGCATTTTGAAATATTCTTCAGGAAGTTATTTTTAAAAATATCTACTGTTTTTCACATAGATATATATAAACTGGAACTAGTAAAGGTAAGAGGTATGGCTCTAAAATTTAACCTGCAATTTTGATGGCAGAATGCTACCTCATCAAGATTTCTGTCTTTAGCACAAAATAGATAACATCTCATGGACCTCAAGGAAAAAAAAAAAGTTTAGAAAAATTAATCTAAGTAAGGATTAGCCTGATGAATGAACGTGCACAAACCATTCCTGAGTTCGGCCATCTGTTTTTTGAATGCCTTTATTGTCTACAAAACACTTGTGCACAACACAGCTTAAGACTATACAGACAGGAGCTATTTCCTGCAGCCCTTGCGATGAATTTTAAAGGGGTATTTCTCTGATATATTCCTTGCTCCCACTGGCTCTGGTCTCCTGCCCCCAGTCACTGTTATCCATACTGGCAATATATGGCAAATTAAAGTCTCAACAAAAAAAAAGAGACTGATCTTACAGATGAATAAAGGAAAAAAAAAGTGGGATTAATTTCAGGAAGATAAGAAGGAATGAGGAACATAACAGTAAACTTGCAAGACGTGTGGAGCAAAGTACATAAGAGTCAGAATTAAAAAAAGTGGGGTTTATTTTCTCACGCACAGTGTACTCAAGTGTCTCCAAAGGCTATTACAATGGCTTATTTGAAAAAATGTGAAAATCATAGTCGACTCTCAGAATATGGCTCTCAGAGTATCTAACACTAACAAAAATCACCACTGAGCTTCAGTCTTGAAAAAAAAAAAAAAGATCCAAGGCAAAGTCCTAGTGGTTTGATTTCTGGTCAGAAGTAAGCAGCTTTTTGGTAGACCAAAGGAGCTTGCTCACATGACACGATGTGTGGGTAAACTTGAAACTCAGCTGAAAAGTACACGAATCAGAATTATTGAAACACATGGAGAGCCAGTAACTTTTGTAAATAATATAATTCAGAATAATGAAAGGAAATTTATTTCTACAACACTTCCATATAGTTACATAACTTACCAGGAGGTACAGGTGGAGGAAAGCCAGGAAACTGTGGAGGTGGGATCCCAGGGGGAAGCGTTGGGATTCCCATAGGAGGGCGATTCAAATGAGGTGGAAAAGACATTCTTCCAGTCACAATCTGTCAAAAAGAAAGAAAAGGAAACTTGTAGTAGTCAGTTCCCAAAAGTCTTCATATGGACACTCAACTATAAACTACAACTATTTTTAACTTTGTTTTTCCCAGCTACTCATCGAGTTACAAATGTAGTAGAAGTCTTCTTTCACAATGAAAAACAGCACTTCCAGCAAAGTGTTTCAGGATGAAGTGAAAAACAAAACTATATCTGACTCATCATACCAATGCTTTACGAGGAGTGTGAATTAAAAAGCATTTAACAGTTTTTATGGTTTCTTTAAAGTAAAGCTATCTTTGCAGTATTGGAAAACAGAAGTAACCATGTAGTACATTTTCAATAAGGCAAGTAGTGCATTCCTGGCACTGACCACAAAGGAAAAGCGCTTTGCTGGAGACAGATGTGCTTTCTGTACAAGAGCAAGCAGTTAAAGACAATCCTAAACACTAGAATTAAGAGCTATATTAATAGTAGATACTATAATTTTTTAGCTCTTTCAAGCAAATCATGTAGGAAAACTTTATTCCCACAGAGTCTGGGACCAATGAGAGATATGAGAGATAAATTATGTAGTGGGCTGGAAAGGATCAAAGGGAAGCACAAATGTATTTGGTAATACCTTTGAACATCAGGACTTATTTATTCTGGTATGAGAACACGTGATAATAGCTATTCATTAATTGGGCCCAAAGGGCATTCGTCAACTTCTCACCAGGGGAAAAGAAAAAACTCCTGTGACACAACAACTAAGATGGTAGAAGAAACAAAGAGAGCAAATGCAAGTACTTTTCCAACAGTTCAATACAGACGATTTTACACAATATAATAAACATAAACCCCATTTTTTTTTTCCCCTTAGAACCCATATGCCTAAGAAGATTCTGGAATTTTTAAAACTGCATGGGCAAAGAAAAGCAGCAAGGGCATACTGCTAAAATATTTGATTTGGAAAGAAGTTTATCGTCCGTTCAGACTACATGCACATCAGCCAACATCTCTCTGACTCTGGATGGCATGGGAGGGAACAGTAACTCCCTTATCTACCTTGGTATCACAAAAAAGACCCTACCAGAAAAGGCAGAAAATTAAGTTCCAGAAAAGGCAGAAAATTAAGACCTTTAAGGCTCTCAATCCTTACCTATATTGCAAGCTGACAGACAATAGGACAAAATTCAAAGCTGTTTTATAGGGCAGGATGGTAGAGCAGCAAGCTATTGGGTCTGAGATGGTTCTAAACAGGCTACAATGGTGTTACACCACCCAAGATCCAGGGGACATTAAGGAGTGGTCTGTTAAACAAAAGAGAACAACTGGGGAACTAATTCTCCAGGCTGCCTGTAGGTGCAGTCCTTTCTCTCGCTCTGGTAAGCACTTTATCTGAGACACCATTTTGGAGAAGCTAAAAAAAAACCCCACGTAAAAAAAGCCTAGGGACTGAGGTGAAACAGTTCTTTGAATTAAAACATGCTGAAACATACCATACTCAATGGATGTTACATACATGCACAGACAAATTTAGTTTTGTTTTTCTGGTTGTTTGGTTGGTTGGTTTGGGGGGTTTTCTGGTTTGATTGAGGGGCTTGTTGTTTGTGGGTTTTTTAAATTTAAATTTAAAAAGCAAAGATGTAGCAGTCAACAAAGTAATTGTTACTGCACAAAAGGCACAACATTGAAATACTAAATTTGATCCATTCTTTCTATCTTCTAATCAGATGATGTGAAACAGCCTTATCTGTATGGCTGCAACAATTTGTTTTATATTCTCTTCTTATTTTTCTTCCATATTTGTACAGTTATTTTCAGAAAGCTGCCCTGTTACCAATTTAATTCTTGCACAGACCAATCCTAGCACCCCTGCTGTCCGTGACATAGAAGATCAACCAGAGAATTAAAGAAATCCTTGGTCTCTTTCTTGCTACTGTATTAACTACCAATGTGAAACTGGAAGAGAGAACAGATTAATTCTGTTTCCTTATGAAAACTATGAGGATCAGCCAATACCAGGATTGACACTGCTCACTGGAGAAGTGAGAGATCTGGGCAAGAGAGGAAGATGCATCCAGTTCCTCACAGCAACCAAGATGCTACAAAGGGAACTGCGCAGCACGTGTTTTCTCTCAGCAGCCACAGAACACACAGGAAACATACATACTGTCTCCATCGTCAGAGGGGCCTCTAATTTATAATAACTACAAATCAAGGGTTAGGTATGGAGAGTTCAGAGATGCTAAGCCAGGTATAGACAGAATACACTTGTAGAAATCTCAGGAACACTAACTTCTCTGCAGTCTGTCCAGTTACCCTGCCAGCACAGTTCTGCGATCAGCGTCTGATATATTTACTGCGGTCTCAGTGTTGTATACGACGATCTTCAAATTTCCCCAGTACATTCAGATGTGTAAGCACGGAACTAAAGAGCCCCAAGATATTTTTAAAACCTCAGCTGACTTATGAAAGTATCACCTGGAATAAAATACTATGTAAGCAGCATTCTTCGTAGCTGCATTTTAACTAGCAGGTCTTTAAGTGAGATATTAATTTGTGTGAATGTTACAGCTGTCACAAAGATACAGGGGTAAGAAAAGCAGTGAGCATCTGGCCCAACACCATTCAGAATACTGAAATAAATGACCTCGTCAGCCGCTAAAACGATGGATTTGTGTCAGGTCTCTGACTCAAAATGCAGTCAATTTAGGCTACGTCCACGCTAGCAAGCAGGGCAGTAAAATATGATTGGGTCTGTTAAAACAGATGGAGCTGAGACACTAACATCCACATCACACATTTTATGGAAGTCTGTCCCATCGGAATGAATATCCACTTGCAGGTAAGAGGGCATTTTTCACTACATTTTCATCCAAAGGGAATTCAGTTCATCCACTGAAACAGTGGAAACCAATGTGAAGAAAAGGTTTCCTATGTGAGGATGAACACAAGACCTCCTTCCAAAGCACACTCCTGACCTCACTTAATGTAGGTGCACATTTTATTAACCTTAGGCAATTTTACCAAGCTGCAGATTAATGATGTCATGGATGGCAAAACGTCTATGCTTACTCTAAGCAGATCCAGCTCAAACCCAGCCCGAGCTATGAACTAAAGCAATTGCCACACAAACACAGCTATAATGTTCCAGCTTCAACTTTGGCCTAGAAGGAATTCAGCTGCTCACATATGCTACTCAGAGTTAGCAAGCCCTGGTGCAACCAAGTGGAGCCAGCTGCACCCATCTTCTGAAATCTGGAGAGACTACAGGGATACCTACATGGCTCCGCGCTTTGGTGAAATCCAGCGAGACTTGTTAACCCTGACTCAATGCTACCCCTTCTGGGACTGAGCTCCACCCAGCTCTGGTGTACAACCAAAGCAGTGCAGAGGGCTGTCCAAGAGCACGCTAGACTCAAGTACCTGAGACCACAGAGAACTCCAAATTACTGTGAAACAAAGGTCGCCATCATTCAGATGTTGCTGCTGCCTGTGCCAATAAGAGGAGACTACTACATGAGAAGATTGTACTGGTCTGGCTGCACTGGTAATAATTTTTTTAAAAAAATCATAATATTCTTTATATTTTTATTTGCTTCCTTTTTTTTAAATAAAGGGGTGAAGAGATGTGTCATAAACAGAATATAAGTTTAATAAAAACCAATGTGTTTTAAACTGACAATTATATCACCTACTGTGGGCAGCATCGTAATTCTACCCATGTCACAGGATGCTGTTTGCATAGCGTAACTTTTATTGGAAAACCTGCAAAACACTTCAACGATTTTCAAACTGTTAAGTCCCCCACGAAACAAACAGTTACAATACTTACTGTTGAGCTGCTGTTACATAAAAGTCAAAGTTAACTGTAAAAATCCTGAAGTCTTAACTCAGAAACAAACCTGATGCATTTTAAGAATATATATACACAGAGTCACAACAGCAGTGACAGTATGGCTGATCTAGCTTGATTTCATTCTGTCTGACTTTAATTTCTCTTCAATATTTTCTCAATACAATTCTGCACCACCAAAAAAAAAAATCTGCACACTTGGTCTGAAGTAAGTTGCACGAAACAGTTGTGTGCAAGCCAGTCCCTCAAATAAGGGAGGAGTAAGTGCAAAACTTTTTGGATTTTTTTTTTAATTAACTACAATCCAGCTTTAATTATAATCTTAACATTTAAATTATTACAAGAGTGCCTGGCAAAATCCACATCTCTAAGTGTGTAACACTATGCTATTTAGTAACACTGTGGATAAACAGATGTTACAGCAAAATATTTGATCTGCATATCCATGTTGTTATGCTTCATTTAAATGTCCCTGTGTGACACATTAAAAAAAGAAAGTTTGAAATGCTTTTTAAGAATAAGTGTAACTCCTACTAAGAATCATACAATATTTGGCATTTGATTCTAATGTCAATACCTAAGCAGCAACAAAGACTGAACAATAATTTCCTCTGATTTACAACCCAAGTAGTTCACATATTGTGTCACATGACGGGTGCAGCTGAGCAAATGTATTTTCAGGAACAATTGGAGCAAATATAGGCCGTAAACCAACCTATTAAAGTCAGTACTATCACACAGGCTTTTACATCAGTCTCTACATGATGGACAGATTTTTAAGTTGTTCCATTATAAAAAGTAAATAACCTCATAGTTTATTACCCATTGGAGATGCTGTTTATATTATTGCTTCTGAAAAAAAAAAAAAGTACCTAAAAGAAAAATCTTTTATTTCAAGCCAACTGATCCTCTCAGTGAAAATGTCCACTTTCTCATACAGCCCTGCAGTTTTCTCCAAAACTGATGTCTTGTTTAGCTTGTAAGCAAAGTCAAATACAACAGATATGAGAAGAGATAAAAGACTTTATAGCTTTTCTAGGCATATTTATTTCTGAACAAACAAAACTAGTACTTGCTCAAGCCTGTTTTTCAGAGTTGATAGAGAAAACATTCACTAACTGCCACCAAATAAGTTACATCCCAAACTATTACTACGAAGC